TATACACTCCACCTGTCTCCTTACCCTCGCCCCCCCCAGTTTGTCTCCTTTCTTAAAGAGACACAAACAGGAGACACCAGCTGCTGCTGCTGCTGCTGCTGCTGCAGCAGGATACACGCTAAACCAGCAGCAGCAACAGCAGCAGCAGCAGCAGCAGCAGGATGAGGACTGCTGCTTCCCCCTGTATTATCTATCTCCTGAGGAGCTGGCCTCCCCTGCGCCCCCAACCGCTGCTGCTGCTGCTGCTGCTGCACCCAGCGCAGCAGCAGCAACAACAGAAGCAGCAGCAGCAGCAGCAGCAGCAGCAGCAGATATGTGGAGAGTGGGAGTGCTCGCGCTGCACCTGCTGCGGGGGGGGCCCCCCTTCCCAGCGACCACCAGGGGGGCCCTCAGGGCCCACTTAGAGAGAAAAGGAGCGATAGGTAAGCTTCTATATATTTACTTATTTATTTATTTATTTTGTTTATTTATTTTGTTTGTTTGTTTTTTTTTTTCTCTTTGTTTTTTTCGGTTGGTTGGTTGTTTGGTTGGTTGTTTATAGATATATATTTATTTATTTAGTTTTTTTAATTTGTTTATTTTCTTAATTTATTTATCTATTTAGTTTATTTATTTATTTGTATGTTTATATATTTATATATTTATTTATATATTTACTTATGTATTTACATATTTATTTATGTAGACATTGATATATTTATATATTTATATATTTATATATTTATATATTTATATATTTATATATTTATATATTTGTTTATATATTTACCTATTTATTTATACATTTATATATTTACATACTTATTAATATATTTATATATTTATAAATTTGTTTAATATATTTATTTATCTCTTTATATATTTTTTATATTTATTTATACATTTATATACTTACATACTTATTAATATATTTATATATTTATGTATTTATTTATATATTTATATATTTATATATTTATTTATATATTTATATATATTTATGTATTTGTTTGTTTTATTAGGGGAGATACTGCTGTCTCTTTGTGGTGTCTCCTTGGGGTGTAAGGATTTCATTGCGGGGTGTCTCCGCATACACCCCAACGAGCGGTATACTCTGACCCAGGCCCTCATACACCCCTGGCTAAACCCTAAACCCTAAACCCTAAACCCTAAACCCTAGGTATTCGGGAGGGGGAGGGGAGGGAGAAGGAGAGGGGTCTCTGGATCAGAGGCAGAAACAGAAAAAGGAGACAGAAAAAAGAGACAGAAGAAAGAGACAAAAAAGGAGACAGGAGAAAGAGAAAGTGGCCGGAAAAGGAGACAGGAAAAAGAGACAAAAAAAGGAGACGGAAGAAGGAGACAGAGGAAGGAAACTAAAAAGGAGACAGAAGAGAGAGACAAAAAAAGGAGACAGAAGAAGGAGACAGAAGAAGGAGACAAAAAAAGGAGACAGAAAAAGGAGACAGGAGAAAGCGACAAAAGAAAGAGAAAGAAGATATATATAAAAAAGGAGACAGAAAAATAAAAGTATAGACAGAGAGAATCTCTCTCTCTGCTCCTCAACTGTCTCCTTATACACCTCAGGAGACACCCCAGCTGTCTCCTTTTGTAGCTGCGGAGACACCGCAGGTGTCTCCTTTTATAGCTCAACTGTCTCCTTATATAGCTGCGGAGACACCCTGGGGTGTCTCCTGAGCTGTATAAGGAGACAAGTGCAGCTGAGGAGACACCTGGGGTGTCTGCTCTAGTGCAGCTGAGGAGACACCGCAGGTGTCTCCTTTTATAGCTGAGGAGACACCCCAGCTGTCTCCTTATACAGCTGAGGAGACACCCTGGGGTGTCTCCTCTAGTGCAGCTGAGGAGACACCTGGGGTGTCTCCTTTTATAGCTGAGGAGACACCGCAGGTGTCTCCTTTTTTTTATGTGGGGAGACACCGCAGCTG